ATTTGTGATAATCGCACATTTCAAAGCATCAATCCCTCATTATAATCCTAACTAACTCAATATAATTCAAGTTAAAAACAGGTAACAAGGCAAACCTGTTGACAATTTACGGGTAGAGATTCTTCCGTGCGCACAAGCAGTAAGAGAAGCATCCAGCACATAGGGAATGGCTTCCAGGATATCCCAGGCAGGCACTGTTAGTTTCATTAAAGCATCATTCAATGCAGACCCAGATCCAGACGAACCGCTGTTTCCTAAGGTCGCAGATGTCAAAGGTTCGGAACCATCATCTAGCTTCCAAAACATCATGCTTAGTAAAGCGTCAGCAATCTGATCAACAGACCCTCCTGGCAAAAGACCAGAGCGAATAGAAGCAATGCATTCTTGGTGTTGCTTATACCAAAAGTATAGTTTTGGAAAGGAATTCATAAATACAGATTTCTTAGGATAGTTTATATTTTTTGACAGTCTTTTGAGCTTTAGAATATCCTTTGTTGATCTTCCAAATGCTGCTACTCTACAGTTTCGAACCAATAAAAGGTATTCAGGACTAAATAGAGATCCAAGTGGTGGATCTGCTGCATTGTTCCTTACTTGTTCAATGGGTAAAATATCAAACCGCCAGAATCTAAGCAAAAGAGTAAATGCATTAGTGAAAACCTCATGAGGAGAGAGTTTTTCTGAGGCTGCAATAGTCTGTGCGGCATCAGGAACACATGAGCCAAAAACCTCACATAATAGCATTAGCCCTGACGCAAGTAATGGAACCTGAAATGAAAAAAATGTAGCAATATCAGCATCAGGAAATAAGTTACATGCACCATCAGTTAGTTTTCTGGCAGAACACCCCTTCCTCCATCATTTTTTTATAGAAAAATCTCTAAACTTAAAAAGTTAATTAATTGAAGAGCCTTCCTAGACTGCAAAACAAACACCTTAAAAAATGATGAAAAGAAGGTTTTTGGCAATTACGTGTTTAAGTCAAGGACTGATAAATAGAACATACCAAACCATGCAGGGAGAAAATATGAACACAGTCTATAGATGAAATTCCAACAAGAAGGATATTTAAAAATGGAGCTTGGCTGATCAAATGGCTTTCTGTCCCAGTGTGATTAGGTAGACCAGCAGGTGAGAGCAACATTGTGATAAAAATAATAGTGTGTTCCTGTAAACAAAGATAACAACATAAACCGTAAAGAAAATAACAGACAATTTAAAGAAAGGGGCAGGAGTTAGGAGCCACCAAAGAAGCTAAAGAAGTTGCTAGGTCAAACTGGCAGTCTGCTGAATCGAATAATTTCTCTAAGCCTTTCTGTTTATGTTTGTAACGTTTTATGTTATAGGTTGCTTTTAGTTGTACCGTTTTAGAACTTGGATTGGGCCAAATTCAACCCTTACAAAACCGGCTTGAATGGTGTTGACTACCCCCACTTATAAACTTATGTTGAGGCCTTATCTCATCCAATGTATGACTCTTAACATTAACTAAAGCTCATGTCTCAAGAAAAAGGAATTTCCACACCTATAACAAGAGTATCCAAATGTTAGGATTATAGAATAGAGGGAAATTCAAGTAGTTATGAGTTGTTAGAGTCGCTAGTGGTCAGTTAGTTGAGGTTGTTATAGAGAGTATGTCGATAAATAAGAACACACTAAGGGTGGAGAGCATCTTTGAATATTGTCACTGTGTGTAGAGTATTCTCTATTGTGAAAGGGAAACCATTGTTGAGGAGAGATTATCTCCAACTTCTCAATAAAATTGTTATTTCTTTGGAATCCAATTCTTGGGATCCTAACAGAAAACCTTCAAGGATGAGGCTCATTAGGCAGATAATCCTACTTTCTACATGATTAGGTGTATGCAACAATGACTAGGCCATGGGCTAAAAACTCCTATTCTATGAACAAGGCTTATCAATTCCTCTCTCAACCCTTAGAAGAGAACTTGAAAATGGTTAAGAGAAATCTTAAGTACATTAAAGGTACAACAAAATGGCCTTTTGCTCAAATCAACATTACTAGGACAATCTTTTCCTCTGACATGCAGATTGAGCTTGTGGTCTAGATGACAGACTATCTACTATCTGAAACTGTGTCTTTGGGAGCTAAGTCAAATTTAATGTCTGGGCAGCTAGACACCGACATGGACTCATTGACACCGCTAATCTAAAAAACACATGACACTAACACATATTATAAGTAAATAAAACATGAACATCATTTATGAAGATCTAAATTGTGAACCAAACCTTATATATGCATCTAAATATGTTTCATTATAAAAATAAAAAATAAAAACTAATACAAGATATACTAATCACCTTCGTTCATTTACTACCGAAAAGGTAAAAACGATGCATTCAAATTTAAGGTCTTTAAATCACCTCATTGATCATCATAGTTGACAGAAGATTAAAAAAAAAAATTGTGTATGTGAAAAGACATGTGCATGTGAGAATTTTTGAAATGCCTAATTAAAAGTTGGAGCAAGTGTCAATTGTTATTGTAGATGTGTCTGAGGAGTGTCCAATGTATTGAAGCAAACAAAAAAAAATCTTTTTTCGAGACACTTGTCTCACTTGTCATACAAATATTGCACGGGTATCGGACATCAAAGTATATTGGACAGAGACTCGTCCCTGAAGTCTATGTGCTTCATAGGCTGTAACAGAATACTAGCCTCGCTTGTATAAGGACATCTACAAATGTAAAGGTAAAGCTTCATTATTGTTAATATTCAGAAAGATAGTCTTTTTTTTTTGTTATGATCCAAAAAGATAGTTAAGATTAAACCTAAATTTCTCTTAAATTCTCTATACATTTTCTGTCCTTTTGTCATCCTTTCTCACACTTTAATAGAGTTTGAGAAATGGAACATTCTAGAGAAGAATTGATTTGTATTGAATATTTCTCAAACTAAAATGATACAAGTTCAATGCTATTTATACATAACTAGAGCTAACAGATTCAAGACAACTCAGCATAACTAACTCTAATAGTTAGTTATGACTGATAACTATCTCTGTTACAAATACTGACCTGACAGCATTACTTATTCTACACTAACTATAGCATATACTCTAATATTTCCCCCTCAAATAGTATTGCTCCCTAAGAGAGCCATTTGCTGACATTGGAGGGAAGATTTGTCAAGAACTTTGAGTTGATCTCTGAGACTGAGAAATCTGAGAGCAGAGAGAGATTTTGTCAAGATATCTGCAATTTGCAGGACAGTTGAGATGTGCTTGACAACCAAGTTTTTATTGAGCACCTTTGCCCTTAAGAAAAAGATGTCTAACTCCATGTGCTTAGTTTTAGCATGGAGGACTGGATTGTGAGAAAGAGCCACAGTGCTCAAATTGTCAGAGGAGAATAGGCTTTTGGGAGGGTGCCTTTAATTCTGTAAGAAGGGATGTAATCCAGAGAACTTCCGATGCAGTGCTGGCCAGGCTCCTATGTTCAGCTTTAGTGCTGGACCTAGCTATCAGGGTTTGTTTCTTAGACCACCATGACACTAGGTTAGGACCAATAAATATGCATGACCCTGAGGTTGATTTTCTATCATCAGGATCAGAGCCCCAGTCAATATCAAAGTATGCAGTAACTGTATTATCAAGCTTGATGCTGATTTTCAGATCAGCAACCAACAGTTGTTATCAAGCTTGATGCTGATTTGTTGCGCAAAGGTCTTGAACGCATTCTTCAAGGATGAAGCTGCTGCGTTTGAAATGGAAGATGTGGTGCCACTCGTCGGAGAATGATTGTCCGGTGAGGACGACAGTGTAGGAGTTGCAGGAGAAGCCATGGTTGTGATAGATCACAAGCTCATGATACCATAATAGAGTTTAAAAAATGGAACATTCTAGAGAAGAATTGATTTGTATTGAATATTTCTCAAACTGAAAGGATACAAGCTCAAAGCTATTTATACATAGCTAGAGCTAACAGATTCAAGACAGCTCAGCATAACTAACTCTAATAATTAGTTATAACTGATAACTAACTCTGTTACAAATGCTGACCTGGCAGCATTATTTACTCTACACTAACTATAACATATACTCTAATACACTTTCCCTCTAATTTATAACTATAATAGAACTAAGCAAGAAAACAGTTGTAGTCTTTCTGTAGCTAAAGTATTAGGATTACCTGTATATTCCATCCACGTACTAGAGATGCCCCGCACATAATGGTAGCAGCAGATATCTTCTCTTCTTCTGAACCACTGATTGCAATTTCATATATCTTTTCAATCTCCGCTAAGCTTCAATCAAATTCATGAACTTAAATTCAGTTTCCTTAAATTCTAAATTTTCAAATAAGAAAATCTAATATATCCAGGTTTAGAAAAGAAGTGTGTATCTGTTGTCACTAGGCAATACTATCATTAATAATAGTCAGACAGCTGCCTAGTTCAAATACCAGAAGTCTATGTCATGTGTGCATCTCATATCTAAATTATAAATCTACGTTTTGTCCAGAAAACAAGAATCTCATTTCTTTTCTAGATGAATTGTCTTTTGATCCAAGAACTATGCGTAGGTACTAACTTAGCCTAGTTTTATTAAGAAAAAGGTACAGCACCCTTTCACATTATGTCAAATACATTTGTTATTTTCATATTTATTGTGGATTATATATTTTACATACCAGAACTATTACCTTCACATATTTTACATGTTCTTTTATGTATTACTATAATATAGTGTTTTTTATATACTTTATATTTAATTCACATTGAAAGCAGAAAATACATTCTATATATGCTTGCCAATGAGTGCATGTTGGTGAATGACAGATAAAGAGATGATAAAATTGATTTAAGAATTAATATATTTAATGCTATGTAAGTATTTTATAGACTATTTAAAAAGAATTAAAAGAAATGGTACGACAGCCACGGAGGCAACACTAAGATTGGTTTCAGCAAATTAGGTTTCAGCCATAAATTTTGCCAATGGATTAACATAATTCTCTCTTCTGCTCATCTTTCTATGGCCATTAATGGTTTTTCTTATGGTTATTTCACCTGCACCACGGGAGTTAGACAAGGTGACCCCTTGTCTCCCCTTCTTTTCTGCTTAGCTGAGGAAGTTCTAAGTAGAAGTATCTCTAAGTTGGGTTTGGATGGCATTCTAGAGCTGATGTCTCGCAATAGAGAAGTCTTAGTTCCTTCTCACACTCTCTGCAGATGACATTCTTATTTTTTGTAAAGGGAAACTCTCAAATATCACTACTCTCAATCAGTTGTTCACTTGCTATTCTCAAGCTTCTGGGCAAATATTTAGCTCATCAAAGTCTACCATCTACTTCGGGTCCATTTCCAATAGAAGGCTCAATCATATTGTTGAGCTAACGGGTTTCACCAAAGGCAGTATTTCTTTCCAATACTTAGGTGTCCCAAATTTTAAGGGGAAGGTTAAGCCTTGCCATCTTCAACCTATTGTTGACACAATGATCTCTAAAATGTCTGCTTGGAAAGGGTCTCTATTGTCCATGGCAAAGCAGAACTCTTGGTCAAAACAGTGATTCAAAGTATGATCACTCACTCTATGATTGTCTACTCTTGTCCAATATCTCTGCTCAAATCTATTGAAAAGGCCTTTAGAAATTTCAATTGGAGTGAAGATGTTAGCGGAAAGAAGCCAGTAACTGTGGCTTGGAAAAAGGTTTGTAAGCCTAAACTCATGGTGGCTTGGGCAACTGATTTGACTTAATGAAGCCTCTTGTTTAAAGATTGGCTGGGAAATGATGAATAGTAAGAATCCTAGGTTGTTATTCTGAAGGCTAGAGTTCTCGGATCTTATGGAACTATTAAACACCACAACTTTTCTTAGCATTAAACCTGAGTTCCCTCTACTCATGTTCTACTCCACTTGGTTGCTTGAGAATGGTAAATCTTTTAAGTTTTGGAGACTTTTGATGTGGACCTCCTCTTCTCCAAGAAACCTGCATCTCAGCCTTGGAAGATTTTTCCGTTAATGTTGAATCTTCTGTTTCAGATTACTTGCATAAGGGTCAGTGGTCCCTTCCTAGTGAATGGCTTAATAACTTTCCATTTCTTTCTAGCAGGGTGTTAAACCAGTTGGCTTCCTGTCATGACTGGGATAGGTTGATTTGGCCAAATTCAAGGTTTGGGGATTTAACCCTCAAAGATGCTTTTGTTTTTAAGTCCCCTCTGTCTATTGCTATTGTCTGGGCTAAGCACATCTGATGCACTGATATTCCCCATCCAAGTGTTGCATGGTTTGGAGAGTAATTCAAGATAAAATGCCAATGGATGCTATGCTCCAACTTAGAGGTTGTTCAATGGCCACAGCTTGCCGTCTTTGTAAATGCCACAATGAACCCACTAACATATTTTCTTCTACTGCAATTTTGCTAGGCAGTTATGGTTGTGTCTTAAGAATTGTGGCTGCTAGCATAAGTTTCAACACTTTGATGACCTTTGGCAAAGTTGTTCCTAAGGGAGGTCTCCACAAAGTTACTTGGTGGTCAAGTCAGCTATTTTTTTCTCTTGAATTCTAGTTGGAGCGCTAGAAACATGGCAAGATTTAACAGAGGGACTCCAAGTCTTCTTCACAATCTCCAAAATCATGTCTCAAGTGACAATGTCGGGCAATCATTCACTTCTAATATCTTCTTCCTCCATGCATGATTTCAAGACCATCAAAGCCTTTAAAGTTAATATCCACCCTCCAAGGACTCCCTTAATCAAGGAGGTTATTTAAAATCCTCCAATTCTTGATTGTCTTAAGTGCAATTGTGATGGTGCTTTCATTCAAGACTCTCCCACATCCGGTTGTGGTGGGATTTTTCAGGAACAGTAAAGGTGATTTCTTATTTGCATTTGCTGAACCTACACTTGGAAATCTTCCTTTCTTGCTGGATTTAGTGCATTCCTTAGAGCTATAAAGATAGCTAGGCCTAAACTTTGGGTTGAAATTGATTCTCTTTTGGCTGTTCAAGCCTTTTCGAAATCTAATATGATGCCTTGGAAACTAAGAAACTGTTGGATCTCTTGCATTTCCGCCATTGAACATTTGTCCTTTTTTATTTCACACATATATAAAGAAGAAAATAGTTGTGCAGATTACTTTGCAATTATAGGTCTCACCTCTAATTCTCTCACATCTGTTTACTTCATTCCTTTGGATATTAGAAATGACTTTGTAAAATATAGGCTTGGTTTTCCTTTTTTTAGGTTCATTTCAGTTTGAATAGGTCTTGGCCTAGTCCCCTCATTTTGTAGTTCCTTCTCTTTAATAAATTTTGGAGCCTTATTTTAAAAAGAAAATGTAACAGCCTTAAAGAATGATAATATCAAGAAGTCAACTAAACCATTAAAATAATTAAAGAAAAGTCACAAATAAAACTACATGAAATACTCCTACCGCTGAACTACGTACTAACAGTATTTAGGTCAGCAACATGAATGGCAAAAAACAAGGTTTTTTCATGATTTGCTGGAAGAATAACGAAACTCAAAGTCAATGATTCAAAGCCATATATATATATGTAAGAGCTTGTGAGTAGTAGTAGAAAAAAAAATCAAGTTAAAAAGAGAACAATGGAGCAGATGAAGTAGTTAGCAATAAGGAGCTAATATCCTAGGTCACTGTCACTTTGACAGTATTGAAAAAAGAGCATTCGGGAGATAAAAACTATTTGAGAAAATAAAAATAAAAAGAAACCTTCCATCATCGATAGTTTCTTTAACCAATCACCTTCCCCAAATCTTTCCCTTCTAAAACCATTTATAAGAGGCAAGTGTCGGTGGTACAATATAGGAATCATACGAGTCATCGGCCTACCTGGAAGCAGGAGTTTCTGTTAAGACATCAACTAATCCAGGAGTTAACTTTGATCCCTTCATCAATGAAGACCAGCCATCCACATGGTTAGAAATGCTAGAAGGAATTTGATTGCTGCGGGGATTCACATAGCCAGGCCAATAATATGCCGATGTGTCCAGTATATTTCTTGCAATACAGGCCTCAACAATTAGATGTAGTAAGTTGCCAGCTGCAAGAGAAAAAATCGACAGTATCACTTGTACACCAAAGAGACTTTAAACAAACATGCATAGACTTTAATGAAATAGCAGATTTATAATTTGAAGCAGTTGGACAAAAAGGAAAAAAGAGCATCGTTTGAAAATAAAAATATGATTTAATTTCATAGTAGTAAGGGTGAAAGTGCAACGAGCAAAGTTATTTACGACTAAAATTGTGAGAAGAGCGGATGTGAGAGTTTAGAAAAGCAAAAATTGACTGGCCTTCATTCCAAAAATTTGTAAACAGTTTATTAACCGGTCATATTTTCTCTTTTTCAATAGATCCTTTTTATTATTTTAACTTTGATTCACTCCAATATCGCAAACTGCCTCAGTTAAAAACTACTGATAAAAAGGTAACATTAAACAGAAGCGCAAATTCTTCAAACAACATGAAACTACAAATTATTGGCACTGTAAAGAAACTACTCACAACAGTTCGTAGGCAATTCATCCATGGTCAATGATTCTAAGTGCCCACTACCCACAGGGTTTTGTGATACAAACTTAGTAGCCTTTACAGCAGCTTGATTGGCTTCCATGAGAACAGTATGAGGTGGAGTAAGCAAATACTGAGAATTACCCAATAACTGTAAACTAGCAATCAATTCCCCGCGACGCTTCCCCCGAATCTCTTCAAATTTTCCTTGATTTGTAGGGACACGTTCAGCTTCTTCAATCAATTCACTTTCTTCTTCTTCAATAATATTTGCGACCACATGTGTTGTAATGCTCAATAACAAACACATGCAAGTATCAAGACGAGGTATAGGGCCTGGTTTTGAATCTCTTTCCTAAAATAACAGGGGTAATAAAGAATTAGTTGATCAATTAAATGTAAAACTCCATGTTAAAGATTAGCACACATCAAATCATAATCATTTGATTCTGAAGATTAGCACACATGAAATCATAATCATTTGATTCTGAAGATTAGCACACATCAAATCATAATCATTTGATTCTGATTTGTCAAGTTGTTACAGAACAGTGTAAATAAAATTATTATCTATTATTACTATTTTCTTATTTAGATAGCAGCAGTTATAAGAAGTTGTTTTCTCTTTTTATTAGCAAATTAGGATTCAGCTTTCAGTCTATTGTATTCTATTTATATCTCACATGTAAGAGTTCCAAACACAATGAAATATACAACATATTGCTATATTGCTACATAGTATCGGAGCACAAGATCTGAACCATTCCTAAACCTTGAGCACCACTCATGACAGATACTAAAGCAGAAAATTCAGCCAACAATTTGGCTGAAGCTCTTCCTATTATTAGTCATCAATGGGTGCGCTCAGTCAAAATCTACCTCCAAGGAAAAGGGAAGGAAGGTTATATCAATGGAGACTCCAAGTGTCCAAAAGAGTAGGATTCCAACCTCGGAAAGTGGCAACTAGAAAACAATCTAGTAATGTCATGGCTGCTAAACACCATGACAAATGAAATTGGAGAAAATTTCATGTACTATGGCACTGCCAAAGAGATGTGGGATGCCGTAAAGGAAACCTACTCTAATGTCGACAATACATCTGCAATTATTGAAATCAAGAGAATACTCCATGATTTACGTCAAGATGACTACTCAGTCACAGAGTATTTTAATACTCTCAAAGTCACTGGCAGCAACTGGATGTATATGATAAGATGAACGGAGCTGCACAGAGGATAAAAAGAAGTACAAAGAATTGGTGGAGAAAGATAGAGTCTACAAATTTCTATTAGGTTTGAACACGGAACTTGATGAAGTTCGTGAGAGAATCCTTGGAACCAAACCTCTTCCAAAAAATTCGAGAAGCTTTCTCGGAAATACGAAGAGAGGAGAGCAGGAGAAAAGTGATGCTTGGAAACTCCAGTGCAGCCCCATCTATAAAGGGATCTGCAATCCTCTGCAAGAAACCGGGTCATATCAAGGACACATGCTGGATCATTCATGGAAAGCCATCAGAGCTAAAATGGACCAGAAACCGGGACAGCAGAGGGAACTGAGGTAAATTCCCACTCATCACCATTCAGCGAGGAGCAAATGGAAGCCTTACAAAAAATACTTCAACAAACAATTGGTATAGCTACTATGGCACAAAAAGGTAATTTTTTGCATGCTCTAAACACTAGCAAGGGAAAACAAAATTCATGGATTATTGACTCAGGAACATCTGATCACATGACTAAAAGACTTGACTGTCTTTGATAGCTATTCTCCATGCCAAAATAATTTGACTGTTCGAATTGCTGATGGTACCCTGTATTAGGTCATGGGTAAAGGTTCTGTCATTATTTCACAAAATATTTCTCTTAGCTCAGTACTCTATGTGCCTAAACTTGATTGCAACCTATTGTCCATCAGTAAACTTACAAAGGATTTGAAGTGCATTACTAAATTCTTCCCTAACCTGTGTGAATTTCAGATTTTTGAGTCGGGGAGGACGATGGGCAATGCTAAAGAATGTGTTGGACTCTATATCCTTCATGCTGAAACATCTAAACCAGAATCTCAAGCAACCTCTTACGCTGTAGTTTCTGAATATAGTGAAAATTCTGCAATGTTGTGGCACTATAGACTAGGCCACTCAAATTTTATGTACTTGAAAGAACTGCTTCCTAAATTATTCAATAAAAATCAGAAGTTGTTTCAATGAGAAATTTGTCAATTGTCCAAACATACACGTAACCCGCCACCCACCTCAACCCTATAAACCTTCCCAACCTTTTTTTGTTATTCATAGTGATGTATGGAACCATCGTGGGTCAGAAATGTAACCGGACCAAGATGGTTTGTCACCTTTATTGATGACTACAGACTGATCACTTGGGTCTACCTTATGAAAGACAAATCGGAAGTTGGTAGGATATTTGAATGTTTCCATACCATGGTGCAAACACAATTTCAAAGCAAAATTAGAGTGCTTAGGAGTAATAATGGTCGTGTAATAATGGTCGTGAGTACTATAATTCTGCACTAAACTAATACTTTCAGCAACATGGAATAATACACCAAAACCTCATGTGTGGATACACCTCAGCAGAACGAGGTTGCCGAGAGAAAGAATAGACACCTCCTAGAAGTAACCCGATCTCTCATGTAGCTATAAATGTACCTAATCAGTTTTGGGGAGAAGTTGTCCTCTCTGCAACCTATCTTATAAACAGAATGTCTTTCCGGATACTTAACTTTCATATGCCCTACTCCACACTCCAAACCTTATACCCAACCAATCGTATCCTTACATCTATTCCTTTGAAAAATTTGGATGTACAACCTTTGTCCATAATCTTGATCTCCAACGCAGTAAACTTGACCCGAAATCCATTAAATGCATATTCCTCGGCTACTCTCCTCACCAAAAGAGATACGAATGTTATTCACCTCAACAAAAAATTCTACCGCACCATGGATGTAACCTTTTTTGAGAATCAACCATATTACCCCAAAGTTGGCATTCACGGGAAGAACACATATTCAGTTGAACTGATAGAGTCTAGCACAATTCCAAGGCAGAACCAAGAAACCTCAAAGACTCTAGAAAATGGTGTTCTCTATTGATATTGAGAAAAAATGTAAGATCGTGTACTAAACATCCCATTGAAAGATTTGTATCTTATGGAAAATTGTCCCAGAAGTACAAGGCTTTTGTAACAGCTCTGGACAACACACACAATCCAAGCACATTCATGAGGTAATCCAAAATTCTGAATGGGCAGCAGCCGTAACTGAAGAGACTGAAGAGGTTCAGGCCTTAATAAAGAATGGCACTTGGGAGATCACAAGCCTACCTGCAGGGAAGAAGCCAGTAGGATGCAAATGGATATTCTCCATGAAGTATAATGCAGATTGGAGTATAAATCTGTAAAAAGCTCGACTTGTAGCAAAGGGATTCACTCAATCGTATGGAGTAGACTATGAAGAGACTTTTGCAACGATGGTCAAACTAAACTCAGTTAGAGTTATTCTCTCTTTGACTACAAACTTATATTGGTCACTCCATCAACTAGACATCAAGAATGCCTTCTTAAATGGTGACCTAGAAGAGGAAGTTTATATGCAAATTCCTCCTGGACTTGAATCATCCAGCGCCACAAATATGGTGTGCAAGCTCCGAAAATCTCTTTATGGCCTCAAGCAGTCTCCAAGGGCGTGGTTTGATAGATTGACTTGAGTTGTCAAGACAGGTTCAACCAATGCCAATCAGATCTGTTTGTTAAACACTCCATGGAAAAAAAGGAAGCTTTGTTCATAAACACATCGTCATTATAGGAAATGATTATGATCAAATTGATCATTTAAAGGGACTCTTGGCAAAGGAATTTGAAGTTAAGGATTTGGGACAACTTAAGTATTTTTTAGGAATGGAAGTTGCTCGAACAAAAAATGACATCTATGTATCACAAAGGAAATACACCTTTGACTTACTTCAAGAAACTGGAATGTTTGGGTGCAAGGCAGCTTAAGTATTTTTTTTAAGAATGGAAGTTGGTCGAACAAAGAATGGCATCTATGTATCACAAGAGAAATACACCCTTGACTTACTTCAAGAAACTGGAATGTTTAGGTGCAGGGCAGCTAATACAACAATAGAACAAATAAAAGGAAGAGAAGATGAAAGTCCACCAGCCGACAAAGATAGATATCAAAGTCTAGTTGTGAAACTAATCTACCTATTTCACACTAGGCCCGACATTGGGTTCGCGGTAAGCATTGCTAGTAGCTACATGTCAACTCCAACTGAGTCTAACATGAAAATGGCGAATAGAATCCTCCAATACCTCAAAGGCACACCAGGCCGAGGTCTCTACTTCAAGAAGAATTCAAATAGGAACATTGAAGTTCATACAGATTTAGATTGGGCAGGGTGCTCCACAGATAGAAAATCGACTACAGGCTATTGTTCATTTGTGTGGCAGAACTTAGTAATTTGGAGAAGGAAGAAACAATTTGTAGTGGCGAGGAGAAGTGCAAAAGCAGAATTTAGAGCTATGGCCCTAGGTATTTGTGAAGGAATATGGCTTAAGAGCATGCTACATGAAATCAAAATTCATGTGAACCCTATTGTGAAGTTACTATGTGATAACAAAGCTGCTACAAGTATTACAAAGAACCCAGTTCAACATAATAGAACAAAACATGTGGAAATTAACCGACACTTCATTAAAGAAAAAATTGATCCTAAGATTATTAGTATTGATCATGTCCCATCATACAAGCAAACTGCAGATATCTTAACCAAGACTCATCTAAGAAATACTTATGAAAATATAAAATCTAATATGGGTATAATAGACATCTACCACTCAGGAGGAGTGTTGAAGATTAGCACACATCAAATTGTAATCATTTGATTCTGATTTGTCAAGTTGTTATAAAATAGAATTATTATCTATTATTACTATTTCTTTATTTGGGTAGCAACAATTATAGAAAATTATTTTCTCTGTTTATTAGCAAATTACGGTGCAGCTTTCAGCCTATTGTATTCTAAAGCCTATTGTATTCTATTTATATCTCACATGTAAGAGTTCCAAACACAATGAAATATAACATATTTCTACCCTACATGTGGCTACACAGACAAAGCAAGACAAGGATAAATCAATCAAGTAATTTTTCTTAGAGAATTTATTAGCTCTGTCTTCCCTTTTGTTAAACAATACCTACCCTTTGAACCAACCGCAGCGTTGCAGACCATAAACCCAAAAATGTATTCTGCCACATAGAGTCATTAACACTGTGTAAAATCTTTACCAAACCTACAATAAGAATATCAAATAAATACTATTGATTCGTAAATAAACAAAGAAAATAAAAGGAAAAAAAAAGTTATCTATTTTGAAGTATTATTTACTACTCCCGCTCAAAAGATGCCATTTGAATTTTTTTTCCTAGTGAGCATGTCGTATCCTCACTTGCAATAAATTGATATCGCTGCTCACATTTACTTCTCACCATTTTTTAACTGAAAGTAATAAAAGCACTTCTATTTGTTATTAGGTTATTTGATTACGTAATTTCCACTATCGCTTTATATCTTTCCATGTCTCAAACCCATTTATGGTTTAATTTTTTTCTTCTTTTTCATCTTCTAGAGTAGAGAAAACTGTTGCTGCTTGAGCAGTTTGGCATGATTCAGGAATCTATCGTATGAAAATAGAAAGAGAGAGTCTTTATGACCTTAAACAAGCCCCTGGGCTATGGTTTGAGAGACTTTAAACTGCACTCCTTCAACTTGGGTTCAAGGCTAGCAAGTGTGACCCCTCACTTTTCACTTATGTCTCCCAAGAAAACACCATCTATATCCTAGTTTATGTGGATGATATTATCATCAGACAGTTCCACTTCACTGTTGCACACTATTATTACCAAACTCAATGCCTCATTTTCTCTCAAACAACTTGGTGTCTTGGATTTTTTTTCTAGGAATAGAGGTTAAAAGGTATGCTCCCATAGGTCTGTCTGCTCCTTACTCAAACTAAATATATCCGAGAACTAGTCCACAAAACCAACATGTTGTAAGCCAGCTTTATTGCCACTCCTACGCAGACCTCTTGCAAATTGACCAAAATTGGGTCTGCTGTCATGTCTGACCCTTTCTGTATAGGTATGTGGTTGAGGTTCTCCAATATTCCACCATCACTAGACCTGACATCTCTTATTCAGTCAATAAAGTGTGCTAGTTCATGGCTCATCCACTTGAGGCACACTAGGTGGTTGTTAAAAGAATCCTAAGGTATCTCAAAGGCACCCTCTGTCATGGTCTTCACCTGGCTCCCCTCTCCCCTTCATCTCCTCCATCTATCCAAGTCTTTTATGATGCTGATTGGGCCTCTAACCCAGTTGATCAAGAGCTGTTATCTACTTTGGCCCTAATCTTATTTCTTGGTGGTCCAAGAAGCAACCTATAGTTGCTAGGTCCAACACTGTGGCTGAGTACATAATCCTTGTTCAGGTCACTGCAGACCTCTTGTGGATCCAAACACTCTTTAAAGAGCTGAGCATCTCAACCGCAGTTCCCACCATGTTGTGTGATAATAAGTTAACAGTCTTATTGGCACGCAATCCTGTTATGCACTCTAGGATCAAACACATGGAAATAAATCTCTTCTTTGTTTGAGAGAGGTTATGGCTAAGCTTCTTCAGGTTTTTGGTACTGACCACTGGCAGATGTTCTTACAAAGCCTTACCTTCCACTAGGTTATTGGCTCTCAAGCACAAACTCAAAGTTGTTACCTTTTAGTGTTATTAGCAAATGTATTAACCTTAACTCTTTTGCTAAGTATAAAAGCAAAACAGTTCTCAATTGTAACTAACTAATTTTTAGAATTCCAAAAGTTAGATATAAATCAAAAATGAGTTTCTCTATTCTACCTATTCACTCTAACAAATTTGATTCTATGATTTGCGGAGGAACTTCACCAATATTATGATTTAAAATAAAAAAAACCAACCATATATTCATACCAGTGATAATTTCAATAGCACTAAAAGCTGCTACTTGCCCTCCATCCAAAGCATCTTCAAGTATAAGATCAATAGAAAGCCAGAATGAAAACCAATTACTACCATAAGATTGACCAGCAAAAGATATGTGAGAACCAGAGGGTATGCCTACAATAGACTCCAGCTTAAATTTTGTATTGCTGCGGATATTTTCCACAAAAGATAAAAGGGTGTCTGCATTATGTTTCGAATTCCTCAAAATTGAAGAGTTTGATGCAAGCAGCTGCATTTGGTAATTGAAATATCCCCAGTGTAATGGCCTACAAAATATAACATTCTTCATTGAAGGTTTCAAAATCTAAATTGAGGTTGGATCAAATAAGTATTCAGACAGTTTACATCTTTGAAGCAAAATATATCTGAATTAGGTTCTTACATGTTTCGATGAACTAAGGAAAGAAGCCTTGATGTCATTTTATTCTGCAAAAATTCTACAATGATCTCAATAGCCAACATTGTATTTCCCCTCTGCAACCTCTCCATCCGCTGGGTATCCATTTTATTGTTGCTGACAGGCTCATCAATATCCATATCATCTGATTTGCTTAGCCATCTTGGCTTAATCTCTGGAATATGATCTAATAACCTTTCATCATCTAAAGATGCTTCAAGTAACTGCCATAAAATTGAGAAGACAAACTCAACAAGAACAACTCCTGGTTCAGACACCTTTTTGCCGTATACTTGAGAAAGCTTAAGAACATCATCAATTGATTCCATAATCCTGTGAAACCATTTGATTAGTCGCATATACAAAATACACAAGGAACCCTCCCCATCCCTAAAAGTAGACAGAAATTTTCAGATTTAGTCTTAAAATTGCAACAAGCATACTAATGATGAGCACAAAAGCAAGTAACTGTCACCAACCATGAATATATATACTCTAGTAAATAAAATGTAGGAGATAACAGCGAAATCTTAAGAAAATCCAAACTTACTTTTGCCAACAATGCACTAAATGTATTTTTTTAAATATACTTCCTTGAGATAATGCCTAAAGTCCACCTTTATAACCTATAAAGTAAGAAAATATATTTTCTAATATATAAATCTCTAAAACCTTATCCCAGTTCATGAGATTGAAGGATTTGAGCCATTTAGGAAAAGACAGTGGTAGCATATGGTACAAAATTTATACAATTAACAAAATCGATAGAATTATTGATGTTGTTCAATATACTTCTATAGCATAGCGGAATTTGGAAAAAAAACCATTATTGTTCGGCAATATGCTATCTAGTACAAAATCTTGTCAAATAGTCCTGGTGCTATAGCATTGCAAAGCAAAATTTTAACAATTTGCTATCCACAATTCACAATACTAATTATTATAAATCAACTGTCCCAAACATACTCAAGAGCTAATAAATTTGTTTTCTTTGGAATGATTATAAACCAACTAATGTAGATGAACCTATGAAGCACAGACACCTCTGTAAAATGGCGTTTCTGTGTCTGTATCAGACATACTTGTGATTACTTTTAATTTATTCATGTGTCAGTGTCGTGTTTGGGGTGTCCATGCTTCATAGAGGTGAACAGGCATGATGAAATCTAACAATGAGCTGAAATTCAACTTTTTATTCGTGAAGAAAAATATGAATAAATTAAACATAATCAAAAGTGTTGGTGTCGAAATCCAACACGGACATGGACACAACTCTTTTTAGAGGTGTCAGTCGGTGCTACATAGTTCCAAAGAATATTTGCTTTAAAGAAAGAGAATAATAAAGATTGAGTTTACAAAATTTGATGACATAAAAAGAACACGTGAATCATTTCATATCTAACCAGAGTTGAACCTCACTTTTCTTTGTTGGCAGAATAGAAATGAGCACCAAGCGTGAACGCATGTAGTTTAACGAGTTCCAAGTAAAGTCGGTAAGCTTTCGGTTGAAGTCTCCTACAATGAACAATCCTGCAATCATACAACACCAAAACAATCCTAATAATAATAATAAAAGTTGATTACAAATTTACAATGCGATTCACAAACGGAAGTAAGAAGAAAAACCTAATTAGATATAGAGTAACGTAAAGAGTTCATTACAAAGAAAAAGAAACTAAATGTGGAAGGACCTAGTGGACAGAAGAGCAAGGAGGAGTAAAGGAGGAACGATATTGCGGGAGGCAGCAGCGTCTAGAATCTTCCAAGCAGTAGGACCGTGATTGTTCCAAAAGAAATGATAAACTAGACGGCGAGCAAGCTCAACGGAGGGGAGAGTGACGGCGGAAGAGTGAAGCATGGAGTTGATTTCAATGGCCCATACGTTAGGATCGGTGTTTCTCTGCAAAGCAGAGTCAGTTTTGAGGAGAATCAAGCATATGAGAGGTTCATCGACGTCGATGGTTTGGGCGGGAACAGCCGTGGCCATCAAACAAGAATGAGAAAGAAATGTGAGAGAAAAAGAGAGTGATTTGTTAACGAGTGAGTGTTGAGAGCAGAAAAAAATGCATGCGTTTTTGTTTTTATGTTAGACACTATTTTTATTTATTTCTTTGACGAACTATATTTTATCTTTTTTTTGGGTTGACAAACTATATTTTATAATCTTAATAATAAAAAATAGTAAATACATTTGAACAAAAAGTCATTAAATTAGTACACAATATATCTACAATGAATTTTATATCAATTTGGATCTTATTCAATATTTAAAAGGTTGATCGTTTAAAGTTGTTGCACACATAAATACAATAATATAATTATAAGATAATATTTTTTATTAAATTAAATTTATTAATATGTTAGAATTAGTGTAGAGAGTAATAATTTAAAGATATGTCAAAATACTTCTTTTCGTCCCTTAATTAGTGTAGAGAGTAATTAATATGTTCGATATTTTATTTTAAAATAGAAGAAATAGCATTTAGATTAGATAGTAAGGATATTTTTTAATTTAATTAAAGTACTTAGTAGTGATAATTCCCACTAATAGTTATTTAAAGTTAAGTTCACTCTAACTTTTTTATAAAATGTTAGATGTTTATATTATAAAATTTATTAATTTAAATAGGTCGGATTAAGGTTTATAAAAAAATCTATTAAGACTATCATATTAATTTATTTATATTTATTTATATGTAATCTTATATATTATATTAATTTATATAGAATTAATTTTTGTAAAACTTTGAAATATATGAAACTTATAAACAATAATGTTTCCTGATTTAAAAGTAATTGTATTCAAAAGAAAAAATAAAAGATGAATTTTTTTAAATAAAATTTTCTTTTTTTAAATAAAGTTTTCTTTAAATATGTCTATTAAATTTGAAAGTAAATGGTTAATTTATTTATGAGAAATGAATTTGAAAAATAATACTAAGAATAAATAATTTTATTTTATAGAAAAAGTAGTATATGTGATTTTTAAAAAGATATAAATGTAATTAATTATTTAACTTTTATAAAATTCTACTCATTAACAAAAAGAGTTTTAACTATTATTTTAAAAATAAAAAGTACTGATATATATATATATATATATATATATATATATATATATATATATATATATATATATATATATATATATATATATATATATATATATATATATATATATATATATATATATAATATATATATATATATATATATATATATATATATATAATATATATATATATATAATATATATATATATATATATATATATATATATATATATATTGTTTATAAGGCAACATTATATAAATTTATATATATATATATATAAAGCAACATTATATATATATATATATATATATATATATATATATATATATATATATATATATATATATATATATATATATATATATATATATATATATATATATATATATATATATATATATATATATATATATATATATATATATATATATATATATATATATATATATATATATAATGTTGCTTTATATATATATATATATATATATATATATATATATATATATATATATATATATATATATATATATATATATATATATATATATATATATATATATATATATATATATATATATATATATATATATATATATATATATATATATATATATATATATATATATATATATATATATATAAAGCAACATTATATATATATATATATATATATATATATATATATATATATATATATATATAGATAAAACTTGTTTTCTTTATATATCAGTACTTTTTGCTTTTTGAATAATAGTTAAAATTCTTTTTGTTAATAAGTAGAATTTTATAAAAGTTAAATAAATAATTACTTTTATATCTTTTTAAAAATCACAAATACTACTTTTTCTATAAAATAAAATTATTTATTCTTAATATTATTTTACAAATTCATTTCTCCTAAATAAATTAACCATTCACTTTCAAATTTATTAGATATATTTAAAGAAAACTTTATTAAAAAAAAAGAAAATTTTATTTAAAAAAAATTCATCTTTTATTTTTTCTTTTGAATACAATTACTTTTAAATCATCAAACATTATTGTTTATAAGTTTCATATATTTCAAAATTTTACAAAAATTAATTCTATATAAATTAATATAATATATAAGATTACATATAAATAAATATAAATAAATCAATATGATAGTCCTAATAGATTTTTTTATAAGCCTAAATATAAATAAAGCAATATGATAGTCCTAATAGATTTTTTTATAAGCCTTAATCCGACCTATTTAAATTAATAAACTTTATAATATAAAGATCTAACATTTTATAAAAAAGATAGAATGAACTTAACTTTAAATAAGTCGGATCATAGACTATTAGTGAGAATTATCACCCTTACCAAGTAATTTAATTAAATTAAAAAATATTCTTACTATCTAATCTAAATAAAAAATCGAACTTGACCCCGAGTTAAAGTTAAGAGACAAAAAAAGTATTTTGCCATAAATTTAAATTATTACTCTCTACACTAATTCTAACATATTAATAAACTTAATTTAATAAAAAAATATTATCTTATAATTATATTATTGTATTTATGTGTGCAACAACTTTAAACCATCAATCTTTTAAATATTGAATAAGATCCAAATTGATATAAAATTCATTATAGATATAAATTAAATCTTTAATAGATTTAGTTTATAGATTTTTTCACCCAAATAACCAAGATTTTCCCTTATATTTTTCAATCTATCCAACTTTCCAATATATTATTCAATCTACCCTAATTTTGTATTTTTTTTTATTTTTTTTTACAACGGGGCGCCATGGGGGTTGGAGCCTCCCTTATAATTTGTATGGGGACGTCATGGGGGTTAGATCCACCCTACAAATTATAAAGGGGGCGCCATACCCATTGGAGCCTCCCTTAAACGAAATTTAAAAATTATTTTTAATGTTTAATTAGTTTAAAAATATTTAATAAATAATTTTTAATAATTTAAAAAAAATTTAAAAATAATAATTTTTGTAAATAATAATTTCTGAATAATTTTTAACAATTTATATTTTAATATTTTTAATGTTTCATATTTTTAACAATTTATAAATAAATAATAATTAATATTTTCATTAATAAATTCCAAACAACAAATAAAAATTAAATTGGATTAAATAAATTTAATCACATACAAATGGCTACATTTGAAAGATCTTGTACATTAATTTCTACGACTCGGTCGATTTAAATGTCCGCCCGTACCGCATCCTCGATTACGTACGTTTCTTGGTGGTCTTTATGGTGGAGTCGGGTCCATTGTGTCGTCATCAAACATTTGCATCACTTCGGCCCATGAAGAGTCCATATCCGTAAAGTCATCCAAATTAAAAGGGTTGTCCATGCCTTCATAATTATTTTGGGGTGGTTGGCTGGATGAGGCAATGTCAGGACGATAACCTGCCTGATCGTAGGTTGAGATGGGTGTAAAGGTTTGGGTGGGTATGGGTTGATTGGGTGTTTGAAACTGGGAGTATGTGTGGTATTGTGGTGGATGTTGTTGGTATTCGGATTGTGAATGAGTTTGTGTGAATTGAGTGAATTGGTTAGGAGTATGTTCATATGGCTGTGATTGTGTGAGTGGGGGTTGGAAATGGGGTTGGGTTGGCGGTTGGAAATAGTATTGGGTTGATGGTTGGCAATGAGGTTGGGTTGGCGGTTGGAAATAAGGCTGGGTTGGTTGTTGGGGCCTTGATGATGAATCTTGTTGGCGTGGGTCATTAAGATACCTTGGATGTGAAATGAAACCAATTGATACAGACTTATACCAAGTCATGTATTGTATAGATTGTTTCATCTCGTATGGAAACACATTGTCGGACAAAACATAGTTGTTGCGATGCCTCCATTCACGACACTCGTGTTTTGCATACTTGGTCCACGGATTATATTCCCATTGGTCGGAGACTTTACCGTTGTGATATTTGTCGGGTATGCACTTTGGGGGACATGGAATATCTTGAAGCATTCCAAATTGAAGTTTCACACGATCACTGTTGTGCATTTCGACGGTGGTGAAGTTGATAATGGGCACCTTTGCACTCCACACCGCAGACTCTTGTTATTCAACTTGACGAAATGCTTCTAGACCAAGATACGGCCGCCAAATGAACTGAAGGATGAAAAAAATAATGTTTAGTATTTTCTAATAATATTCAAGGAGAGTATAACATAAATAGGTAGGTGAGTGAGTTTACATCTTCTTGCGCCAAGTGATCAATACGATTTCGGTACTGCGTTATACTGAAGTGGGAACAATTGTCATAATTCATTCCAAGCGAAGACCACCTACAAATCGAAAACAATAAAATTTATTAATAATATGATTAATAAATAAAAACACTTTGATAGATAAATGAGAATTGGAAAAAATAATTACCTTTTAGCGAATGAGAATTCAAACTGATTTTGTTGGATATGTGCTAGATTGGTCATTCTTGACCAACCCCAAGATTGTAGAAGAACACCACATCCGGTCCAATTTCCGGTATTGACTATTGAGTTATGACATATTGACCGATATAGGTGCGCTAGTGTAGCGGACCCCCAACTATATGTTTTTATTTTATCTACGTCATCTAATAAAGGTAAGTACATAGAGTGAACGGCGCTTCCACTTGTATCCGGACATAAAAATAACCCTATTAATAGCATTATATAAATTCGGGTTTTTCTAATTTTTAGAATTTCAGGAGAATCGGGGGTTAATGTCAAGTCTCTATAAATTTTTTTGAGCCATGACATTAAAATTTTTTGTCCCCTCAAATCTCGTGGGGTTGGTTCAACCCCCAAGAGTTCTCCAATGGGTATGGCGCCCCCATACAAATTATAAGGGAGGCTCCAACCCCCATGGCGCCCCCTTGTAAAAAAAATAAAAAAAATACAAAATTAGGGTAGATTGGATAATATATTGGAAAGTTGGGTAGATTGGAAATTATAAGGGAGAATCTTGGTTATTTGGGTGAAAAAATCTAGTTTATATCATGCATATATTGTGTACTAATTTAATGACTTTTTGTTCAAATTTATTTACTATTCTTTATTATTAAGATTATAAAATATAGTTTGTCAACAAAAAAAAATTATAAAGTATAATTTGTCAAAAAAAAAAAAAAAATAGTGTCTAACATAAACACAAAAACGCATGCATTTTCTTCAGCTCTCAACACTCACTCGTTAACAAATCACTCCTTCTTTCTCTCTCACATTTCTTTCTCATTCTTGTTTGATGGCCACGGCTGTTCCCGCCCAAACCATCGACGTCGATGAACCTCTCATATGCTCGATTCTCCTCAAAACTGACTCTGCTTTGCAGAGAAACACCGATCCTAACGTATGGGCCATTGAAATCAACTCCATGCTTCACTCTTCCGCCGTCACTCTCCCCTCCGTTGAGCTTGCTCGCCGTCTAGTTTCTCATTTCTTTTGGAACAATCACGGTCCTACTGCTTGTAAGATTCTAGACGTTGTTGCCTCCCGCAATATCGTTCCTCCTTTACTCCTCCTTGCTCTTCTGTCCACTAGGTCCTTCCACATTTCGTTTCGTTTTCTTTGTAATGAACTCTTTATGTTACTCTATATCTAATTAGGTTTTTCTTCTTGCTTCCGTTTGTGAATCGCATTGTAAATTTGTAATCAACTTTTATTATTATTATTAGGATTGTTTTGGTGTTGTATGATTGCAGGATTGTTCATTGTAGGAGACTCCAACCGATAGCTTACCGACTTTACTTGGAACTCGTTAAGCTGCATGCGTTCACGCTTGATGCTCATTTCTATTCTGCCAACAAAGAAAAGTGAGGTTCAACTCTTGTTAGATATGAAATGATTCACGTGTTCTTTTTATGTCATCAAATTCTGTAAACTCAATCTTTATTATTCTCATTCTTTAAAGCAAATATTCTTTGGGAACTATGTAGCACCGACTGACACCTCTAAAAAGAGTTGTGTCCATGTTCGTGTTGGATTTCGACACCAACACTTTTGATTATGTTTAATTTATTCATATTTTTCTTCACAAATAAAAAGTTGAATTTCAGCTCATTGTTAGATTTCATCATGCCTGTTCACCTCTATGAAGCATGGACACCCCAAACACGACACCGACACATGAATAAATTAAAAGTAATCACAAGTATCGGTGTAGGTGTCGATGTCTGATACAGACACAGACACGTCATTTTTCAGAGGTGTCTGTGCTTCATAGGTTCATCTAGATTAGTTGGTTTATAATCATTCCAAAGAAATTCGATAGCGAGAAAACAAATTTATTAGCTCTTGAGTATGTTTGGGATAGTTGATTTATAATAATTAGTATTGTGAATTGTGGATAGCAAATTGTTAAAATTTTGCTTTGCAATGCTATAGCACCAGGACTATTTGACAAGATTTTGTACTAGATAGCATATTGCCGAACAATAATGGTTTTTTTTCAAATTCCGCTATGCTATAGAAGTATATTGAACAACATCAATAATTCCATCGATTTTGTACCATATGCTACCACTGTCTCTTCCTAAATGGCTCAAATCCTTCAATCTCATGAACTGGATAAGGTTTTAGAGATTTATATATTAGGAAATATTTTTTCTTACTTTATAAGTTATAAAGGTGGACTTTAGGCATTATATTTAAAAAAAAATGCATTTAGTGCATTGTTGGCAAAAGTAAGTTTGGATTTTCTTAAGATTTCGCTGTTATCTCCTACATTTTATTTACTAGAGTATATATATATTCATGTTTGGTGACAGTTACTTGCTTTTGTCCTCATCATTAGTAAATCTCATGCTTGTTGCAATTTTAAGACTAAATCTGAAAATTTCTGTCTACTTTTGGGGATGGAGAGGGTTCCTTGTGTATTTTGTATATGCGACTAATCCAATGGTTTCACAGGATTATGGAATCAATTGATGATGTTCTTAAGCTTTCTCAAGTATACAGCCAAAAGGTGTCTGAACCAGGAGTTGTTCTTGTTGAGTTTATCTTCTCAATTTTATGGCAGTTACTTGAAACATCTTTAGATGATGAAAGGTTATTAGATCATATTCCAGAGATTAAGCCAAGATGGCTAAGCAAATCAGATGATATGGATATTGATGAGCCTGTCAGCAACAATAAAATGGATACCCAGCAGATGGAGAGGTTGCAGAGGGGAAATACAACGTTGGCTATTGAGATCATTGTAGAATTTTTGCAGAATAAAATGACATTAAGGCTTCTTTCCTTAGTTCATCGAAACATGTACGAACCTAATTCAGATATACTTTGCTTCAAAGATGTAAACTGTCTGAATACTTATTTGAGCCAACCTCAATTTAGATTTTTAAACCTTCAATGAAGAATGTTATCTTTTGTAGGCCATTACACTGGGGATATTTCAATTACCAAATGCAGCTGCTTGCATCAAACTCTTCAATTTTGAGGAATTCGAAACATAATGCAGACACTCTTTTATCTTTGATGGAAAATATCTGCAGCAATACAAAATTTAAGTTGGAGTCTATTGTAGGCATACCTTCTGGTTCTCACATATCTTTTGCTTGTCAATCTTATGGTAGTAGTTGGTTTTCATTCTGGCTTTCTATTGATCTTATACTTGAAGATGCTTTGGATGGAGGGCAAGTACCAGCTTTTAGTGCTATTGAAATTATCACTGGTATGAATATATGGTTGTTTTTTTTTTTATTTTAAATCATAATGTTGGTGAAGTTCCTCCGCAAATCATAGAATCAAATTTGTTAGAGTGAATAGGTAGAATAGAGAAACTCATTTTTGATTTATAACTAACTTTTGGAATTTTGAAAATTAGTTAGTTACAATTGAGAACTGTTTTGCTTTTATACTTAGCAAAAGAGTTGAGGTTAATACATTTGCTAATAACACTAAAAGGTAACAACTTTGAGTTTGTGCTTGAGAGCCAATAACCTAGTGGAAGGTAAGGCTTTGTAAGAACATTTGCTAGTGGTCAGTACCAAGAACCCGAAGAAGCTTAGCCATAACCTCTCTCAAACAAAGAAGAGATCTATCTCCATGTGTTTGATCCTAGAGTGCATAACAGGATTGCGTGCCAATAAGACTGTTGACTTATTATCACACAACATGGTGGGAACTGAGGTTGAGATGCTCAGCTCTTTAAAGAGTGTTTGGATCCACAAGAGGTATGCAGTGACCTGAACAAGGATTATGTACTCAGCCTCAGTGTTGGACCTAGCAACTATAGGTTGCTTCTTGGACCACCAAGAAATAAGATTAGGGCCAAAGTAGATAACAGCTCCTTATCAACTGGGTCAGAGGCCCAGGCATTTCATCATAGTCTCAGGCGAAACATTCTTTGAATTCCTTTAGTAACTGAACCACTTTGACCTTTAGTTGGGGGTTCAATTTGGCGCTAATGTATGTAGGCCTCTTGAGTGCTCCCTCACTAAGATAAGTTTATTCTAAAGGATCTTGTGCCAGCATCTTAATATTGTTTGCTAGCGGATCCTTTTCAAACCCCAAACGCTCATCTTCTTAGATAGCGTCGAGTCTTTGTCTTTTCTCTCCATTTTGGACTTTATCTGGAGGAATTGGGTTGAAACCCTCATTAGGACATTCTTGGTGAAATTCGGAGATGGATTTACCAGCCATTTGGTTCTTGGCAGCTTCCAAAGCCGCTTGTAGTTTAGTCTCAGCCACATAGACCAAAATTTTCTTCAATGCTTCAAACTCAGTCATGGTTACTGAATTCGCCTCCCCACCCAGTGGGTTCGACCAGAGGTCCTTCAAAACCTGGTAGCCTTTCTCCTGGTACCTCACTGTCCCATCTGAAGCCTTCGACATGATGCAAATATAATGAATGGAACGTTGCTTCATTTGGAGTAAACTCAAACTCAGCTGAAGGACATGGAGCAATGTTCGCCAAATGCTTATCAAATTGATTCCCATCGACATAATTGACAGGGATCTTGAAGTATCCTTGATCAGCTTCAATATTCTTCATGATACCATATGACCTTCAAATGGCAATTCTTTGGTGCATTGAAGAAGGCATAACACTTATGCCATGAATCCACTCTCTTCCTAAGAGTAGATTGTAATTAGCTTTGGTTTTGACAACCATGAAAATTATGGGTCTTGTGATTGTCCCCACCATAAGATCAACTTGGATCACTCCCAAAGTGGAGCTAACTTTTCCTCTATAGTTCAACAAAACCATGTTGTGGGGTTTGGTATCATCGTCACATTTCCCAATCTTACTTAGTAAAAACTGGGGCATCAAGTTTACAATTGCACCACAATCCACTAGTATTTTGTTGATGGGAATGTTCTCCACCTTTCCAGTGATGAGAGGCTTCAAATGACCCTTCATAGCCTCTGTAGGGCGTTCAAAGAAAGCATTTTGCTCCTCTACACACCCATTATTCATAATGTAATAGCACACAGGTTTGTGTGCCAGCATTTCCATCTCAGTATTCTGATCCACATCTTCTACTTCTATAACCTAGTTGAATTCTCTAGGCATGACAGATACGACATTTGCTATGATGTCTAAGGATGCTGCTGATTCACTGTTGAAATTATCAGTCATGTTCTCATCATCTTTGATTACTCTAACTGGCTGGTTCTTTCGATTTTCAAACAGCTTTCGCCTTATAGGCATCTTCTCATCTTTTCCA